CTAATCTTAGCAATATGCAGAAGGTGGAAAAAGGAAATCCTACAAACCTGTTTAAGGTGGGATTTGAATTACTTATCCTGGTCAAAGATAACACCAAGGTTCCTTACTTTGTTCTCAGAGACTAATTTAATGCCATTCAGGTCAGATGATTGAATAAGCAATTTCCTTTTCTAAATTTCAGGTCCAAAGATGAGAACTTCAGTCTTGTCTTGATTTAAGATATATCTGAGTATTGTCAGCATAACAGTGGAAGTTTATCCCATGCTGTCTAATGATTTTACCAATTGGAAGCATATATATAGTAAAAAGAATTGGTCCAAGCACTGAACCCTGGGGTACTCCACAAGTAATCCTGGAGTATGAAGATTTGTCATGTACATTAATAAAATGAAATCTGTCAGACAGGTAGGATTTAAACCAGCCTAACGCTGTTCCTTTGATCCCTACAACATGTTCAAGCCTTTCTAAAAGAACATTGTGATCAACTGTGTCAAAGGCAGCACTGAGATCTAACAAGACTAGAACAGACACAAGATTCTAATCTGAGGCCATGAGAATATTATTTGTAACTTTCACTAATACAGTTTCAGTGCTGTGATACTCTCTAAAACCAGACTGAAATTCCTCAAACAGAGCATTAGTGTTTAAGTGCTCACATACTTGGATGGCCACTATTTTCTCCAGGACTTTGGATAAAAATGGAAGGTTAGATATTGGTCTATAAATCATTGGGTCATCTGGATCCAGAGAAGGCTTCTTAAGTGAAGGTTTGATTACAGCAACCTTAAAATCTTGTGGTACATATCCATTTACTAAGGATAGATTGTTTATATCTAGAAAGGGAGCAGTAACCAAAGGAAATACATCTTTCAATAATTGGGATTGGATCTAAAATGCAAGTTCAAGGTTTAGATTAAGCTAATATTTTTGATAACTCTGAAAGCTCAACTGGATCAAAACGGTTCAAACACAGATGAGGTTCTACAGTTACCTCTGATGCTGCCTCACTTACTGAGGAAGAAGAAATTGCATTAGGGAGGATGCTAATAATTTAGTTTCTAATGGAATTAATTTTACTCATGAAAAATCCCATAAAGTCGTTGCTGCTGAGGGCTAAGGGAATAAATGTTTCAGAGCTATGATTCTGTGTAAGTTTGGCAACTGTACTGAAAAGAAATTTATGATTATTCTAGTTCTCCTCAATTAGTGATGAAAATAAGCAGTTCTAGCTTGTTGAAGCTTATTTTTTTAAAGCACAAGACTATTTTTCCAGGATAAGTTGGACTCTTCCTGGTGTGTAGAGCGCCATGTTCTCTCCAATTTTCTAGAGTTTTGTTTTAAAGTTTGTAAATCAGAATTAAACCAGGGAGCCAACTTCCTGCGCTTAATTACCTTATTTTTTAAAGGGGCAATATCATCTAATGCCACACGTAAAGAAGTAACATTATGAATTAGATCTTCAATTTGTGAGGGGCTAGAAATGAAAATATTGCCCTCTGCTAAGTTCCTCTGAGATGCTGAAGACAGTAAAGATGGAACAGTTTATTTAAAAGATACAACAGCGTTGTCAGATAGAGACCGACTATAGTGAAATTTACTTTCAAGTCTCAAGAACTCAGTTGTATAAAACTCAAAGGTTATCAAAAAGTGGTCCTAGAGGACTGAAATATGTGGAAATATCGTTATTTCCTCACACTCTATGCCATAAGTCAGCACAAGGTCTAATGTATGATGGCAGGCGTGGGTGGAGCTATGTATTCTTTGGGTAAAACCAGTTGAGACTTAGATATTACTAAAGGCTACATTGAGGCTATCATTTTCAATGTCCTCATGAATGTTAAAATCCCCCACTATAATGACCTTATCAGTATTTAGCACCAAAGCAGATAAAAAATCAGAGATCTGATCCAAAAACTCAGAGTAAGGGCCTGGTGGACGATATAAATCTACAAACAAGAGTGGTGTTACAGTTTTGCAATCTGGATTAGGAAAACTAAGAATAAGATGTTTGAACGAACTGTAGCTATTAATTGGTAAGAGACTGATTAATAAGTCCGAATGAAAAATGGTTGCTACTCCTCCTCCTTGCCCTGTACTTTGAGCAATATGATTATTTAAATAATTTGAAGGAGTCGACTCGTTTAAACTAACATAGTCCTCTTGCTGCAGCCAGGATTCTGAGAGAAAGCAAAGAGATCTGATTATCACAAATCAAGTCATTAACTAACAAAGTCTTACAAAAAATAGATCTAATGTTCAATAACCCATATTTGATTTTTCTAGTTTTCTGCTGAGTTGATTTTGTTCTAATATTTATGAGATTTCCATGATTTGCTTTATTAAGCCTGATATTTAATCTGTGTGATTTTGGCCTTGGGCAGGACACTGCCTCTATGGGGTAGTGGGTGGGTAACAGTACAGAAGCTGCAGAGAGGTGTGTTAAACTACGACTCACTTAACATATCTTGCCTGCTGGTGGTGGTTGAAGGGACTGATGGTGTCAGGTTTCGGCAGTCTCGCTATCGTCAGCATGACCCATGGCACTTGTGGCTACATTATAGCTTATATCATCAGCATGTGAATGTGTGTGTGAATGGCTGATTGTGTTGTGAATTACCTTGGGGGATTGTAGCACCCTAAGAAGGCACTATACAAATACGGGCCATTTACCATTTTTACAAGATTATGCACACCTGTGATGCTAATTAGTGGACACACCTTGATTTAACATGTCTTTTTGGTTACATTATATTCAGTCTTTTTATGAGTACCATCATTTTTGTACAGGCGTGTTCCATTAGTTTATTTTTTTAAATAATTCCTTTGAAGGATGTTTGAAAAACAGTGTTTGAATTTCATTGATTAAATTTAATGGAATTCTTATTTATTATTACTTTTGCCAGGTACAAGTTATTTCTGTGACCATTGTGAGTTAACGTTTCACCGACCAAAGGGTACCAACAATTTTGTCCACGTATGAAAAAAATGGCTGCTACGCGATCTATAGTTCCACAGTGGGGCAAAAAAGTGGCCGGCAATTGTGCAAGTTGTTTAAGATGAGAAAGGTTTGTCATTTTCATCATAGGTACATTTCCATCTGTGACAGACAGAATTTAAAATAATCAAGAAAATCACATTGTATGATTTTCAAAAAATGTATTTGTTTGATGCTACAGAAAATTATTATTTAGCAAACAAGAATTCTGGGACCTCACAGACCTGTAACTATCTTTAAGAAGTTATAGTATACCCTACTTGTACCTGTGTTAATGGCCCATGTTTGAACTTATCTGTATGAAAGTTCTCTGTTCACACGTCCAAACGGCCATAGTCCAACCTCCACCATGGCAAAGACCAGAGAGCTGTCCAAGGACACCAGGGTCAAAAGTGTACACCTGCACAAGATGAGCCAATCTACAATAGGCAAGCAGCTTGATGAGAAGAGATCTCTCTCTTTTTTTTAGCAGTTATTAAAAATTGAATCAATCCATTCAAGCTCTCAATTTATGGGATACAATGTTCTTGAGAACCACGAGGAAACAGCCCAAAGCTACATGGTGGGAACTGGTCAATGACCTGAAGAGTACTGGGACCACAGCAACAAAGTCTACAATGATTAATATCCTGCAGCATTTGAAAGGTCCTCCTTCTTACAGCTATCTGGAGTTTCCCCTTCAGGAATTATGTATGATCTTTTAGAAATCCATAAAAGTGAGTGTCTTATCATGTACTGTGATTTAATGTAGGCAATACGTTTTATTTATTTATTTATTTAATTAATTAATTAATTTTTATAAGCCCACCCCCCTATCCTGTAGAGCTCCATGCAATATGAACTGAGCACTGGTCAGCAGTAACCAATGGTGTTAGATTACCGCTACATACAAACATTAATCACAGAGCATGCTCCAGCATCTGAAGACTCAGCTGGTGTAGAGTTGGCAACTTTTCTCATGGACAAGTAAGCCTATAAAATATAAATATAAAGTTTGCCAGAGACTATCTGGGTGATCCAGAGGAGGTTTACGAGAACGTCGTGGTCAGATGAGACTAAAATAAAACGTATTGGTATAAACAGCACATGCTGTGTTTAACAGGGGAAGAATGCTGAGTTGCATCTCAAGGACACTATACCCACTGCGTAGCATTGGGGAGGAAACATGCTTTGGTGCTGCTTTTCTGCAAAAGGGACAGGACGACTGATCCATGTTAAGGAAAGGATGAATGGAGCCGTGTATCATGAGATTTTAGGCAAAGACTTTCCATCAGTGAGAGCATTGAAGGTGAAATATGGCTGGATCTGGCTGAGTTTTTATTGTTGCACCAAGCATTGCAGCAATTTCCTAATGTTGTGATTCCTCACACTTATAACAATACAACCCGTCTGATTCTGATCCACCCGTGCAATGAAGGAGTGGCTATGTAAAAAATAGTATTTGAAGGATCTGGAGTGGCCTAGCCAGCATCCAGACCTCATTCCAACCGAGAACCCATAGAGAGAGCTGAACGTTTGTGTTTAGCGACAGAGAAGATGCAAAATACCAGCTACAGTGTGTAAACCTGGTGAAGACCCATAGCAAACACTTGACCCTTGTCATTACCAAACAAGGTTACCTTACAAAGCATTGAGGTGAAATTTTGTACGTACTTTCTGCACCATTATAAAAGTAAATTCTTTTAAAATGATAAAATGTGATTTGCTAGATTATTTTTACTTTCTGTCTTTCACAGTTGGAGGGTATCTATGATCAAACTTGAACAATCTGAGGCTGCCAAATACTTTATTGCCCCACTCAAAGTCAATTTAATAGAAATCAGTACAGCTTATGACAAACATGACACAGTGACAGTGTTTTTGTTTCATTCTTTTGCTGTTTTGTGCACAATGACTTGTGATCGTGTTGATGTCTCCTGGTCCAATTACAATACTGTGTATGCTTTTATTTCTTTGCTGTTTTATGTAAATTCCAGTAACTAAATTAGTGTCTCTTTACTTGCAGAGTTGGATACACGTCTGTGTCCGTTTCCTGCTGTTCATCACGTTTGGGGTTCATTCAGCTACACTTAAAGTTACTGTGACTGATGACACAGACACAATAATCCCTTCACTGGTAAGCTTTAAAAATTGATCTAACTAAACCAGCATTCAGTACATAAAGCAGCCTTGTTTAATTTTTTTATATGCTAAAACCTTTTTGCATTGTTGCCTCATTTTATGAAAATAAATGTACCAAGCTATAGTTTTTACAAAAATGCAGGATTAATCAGCAAACGTGCTTCATCAACAATGTTTTCAGCAATTTTTCTTCTCAATGAGCGACACAAATCTTTTCTCCAGAAAAAAAAACTGTTTTAAATGTTTTATTGAGATGTGACACTATGAACTCAGTTAAAGCCACATTTAGTCTTGGTCCGCCAAAGTTTTCTGGACTTCAAATTCTAATTCTCATGCTTGTTGGATGTTAATGTGTTTTGTCCCCAATTTAATTCTCTTGCACTTGTTTGTGTTTACAGAGACAGAATATTCCAAACGACTACAAAATTCCTGTAACCTACATTACAAAAGAAGTGGTAAGACACCTACCAATAGGAAATGATGTGTTCCATTTCTGTGTGAAGATGATCACAATTTTCAGTTTTATTTTATTTAATTTTTGTTTCTGCCCCTTTTATTGTATTTTAAGTGTCTGTAGTGATGTATCAAATTGTTGTGGTAATGAATCAAGTAAAAACGCAGTTTTTGGTGGCAGGTGTTGTACTGAAAAATGGACCTATGCCAGAAAAAGCACTATGGAGTGACAGGAGTAAAAAACAGCATTTGAAGTTAAAAGGAACCAACACCCCCTCCGTAATGCTGGCTTGTGTTAAGCCCCACCCCTTCCATGAAACAACATTCCCCTGCCTAAAACCAACAATAATCTACCTAAAAACAATCCAGGTATTGATTACTACATTGTAAATTAAATTCACAAAATTCATTCACAAAATAAAATATTCCAATTGATTTCATTTTATTGTGCCAGTTGCTGGTGAAGGTTCTCCATCATCCAGGTCATGGTAAATCAAAAGGCTTCAAATGAAGGCAACTTTGGTTTCATGAAGACGTTTCGCTTTTCATTCGAGGAGCTTTGGCAGTTCTGACTGGAATATGGGAGAGTCAAGCTTGTGTTATGAATAAAAAGGGTCAATCTTTCACCATCTACAGTGACCAGAGTAACCTTTCATCTACAGGCATAAACCCACTTTCTATTTGGCCTTCAAATCCAGAAGGTTCTGCTCAGTGCTTGTTTGCATACATTAAGTCATAGTAAATTGGCAAGGTCTCCTGCAAAAGTCCTCCCCTCTCTGCGTAAAAGTCAGACTGCTGGATTCCTCAGTCTGGATAAAAAGTGAACCAACTCCAATCCGACAAGACTTTACAACTTATAAGTTAATTAATCATATGTGTTGAATGAACAAGATGTTTAAATGAAATGTTTGAATAATCTGTGCTTAAACCAATGATGGCCTTGAAATGAATATTGCTCTTACAATGATCCATTTCAGATCTTATGATCAGTATGTGTTTGATTTAACAAGTGAATCATTGTTTACACTCATACACATTACAATAAGATACATATTAAGGTTAATATTCACCTCACATAAGAGTTTGAACATTCTCATTCACAGTCTTAAAACATCTTTGTATCTGCAACTACTCGAATCTGACAAGACTTTACGCAGAGAGGAAGACTTTTGAAGGAGACCTTGACAGTTTATTATGACTTCAAACAAGCACTGAGCAGAACCTTCTGGAATTAAAGGCCAAATAGAAAGTGGGTTTATGCCTGAAAGGTCACTCTGGTCACTGTGGATGGTGAAAATTTTACCCTTTTGATTCATAACACTTGTAAGCTGTAACTTGTTTAACGAGCAGAAACTATTCTGAATAACCCCCTCTCTCTACCACCTGATGAGTCATTAGCCTCTATTGTGAGAGAGTTGTTGTGTTGCCAAAGTAGACTACATGGGAGACAACCAAGGAGGACACCATTGTTGAAACCAAATCATAAAAAGCTAGACTGGAATTTGCCAAACTACATGTTGACAAGCAACAAAGCTTCTGGGAGAATGCCGTCTGGATAGATGAGACAAAAATGGAACTTTTGCCAAGGCACATCAGCTTTATGTTCACAGACAGAAAAATGAAGCATATCAAGAAAAGAAAACTGTCCCTGTGAAACAAGGAGGAGGCTCTGTTATGTTCTGGGCTGCTTTGCTGCATCTGGCACAGGGTGAAATCTTAAGACTATGAAGGGATTCTAGAGAAAAATGTGCTGGCCAGTGTCGAACTAGATTTATTAAACCTAAAAAGGTTTTTTGAACCAGGCTGTAAACATGTTTATTTCTGCTGTGAAATTTAGATTTTTAACATGAGAGTCGATGAGGGTTTGCTCACATCTGCTGCCAGCTGCTAGTGGGTGAGAGTGGAACTGCAATTTTAGCCACTCCTTTTTGGCTTCAAGAAATATAGACCATAATGGCCCCTTGGTTCTGACCTCAATCCTATTGAGCATCTTTGGAAGGAGCTGAATTATGTTGTCTGTAAAGGAGCCCTTCAAACCTGAGACAACTGGAGCAGTCTGCTCACGAGGAGGGGGCCAAAATACCTGCTGAGAGGTGCAGAAATCTCATTGACAGTTACAGAAATCGTTTGATTGCAGTGATCCACCATCATTTTTTTCCAGGCCTGTTCCATGAGTTTATCTTTTTAGATAATTCCATTAAAGCATGGTTGAAAAGCAATGTCTGACCTTCATTGGTAAAATTCTATTGATTTTCTTTGTTTATTGATTATTACTTTTGTCAGATTCAAGTTATTTCTGTGACCACTGAGGGTTTTTCTTTCACTGACTGAAGCGTACCAGCAACTTTGTTTGTATATTTTATTTGTAAGTCAGTGGGTGCAAACTAATAGTGTTGCTACGATGTTCTGATGAAAAATGATAACAGCTACATTTTAAAACAACTGTCACATTAATAACTTAGTTCAACATGTCTTGAATAGTTGGAATAGTTATTGTGAGAACTGCCTCTAGATGAATGTCTTGTCTAAACGTGATCTGTTGTAAGTAATTCACTGTAAGTGCTAATTTATGTTCTTTTTCCTCCTTTTTTATTCTAGGGTGGGATGTGTTGGGCAAATTTAAATGTTTACAACGTGGAGCAGAGTTTACAAGAATTAGCCAATAAGTTTGGAAACATTTCAACCAATAAACACGATATTAAAATACTCATTATCTATTTTTACGAAGAGCGGCTAGATATCAAAGTGGTAAGTTAATGTTGTTTTATTTTCATTTTAAGTGCCTGCTTTCAACAAAACAAATATTTGTTTAGGTATTTGATGATCCATCTACCTGCAAACCAATAAAGATGTGAATTGTTTTCCTAGAACCTGGAGGCGCTAATGGTGGATTTTCAGTGCCACTACAGGACAGAAAAATGGGAAACACAGCGATACTTTGACTTTGTTAAAGAACTCTACAATGCTTTAAAGCATGAAAACTCTTCTAATGAGTGTGAAGAACCTCCCTGTCCCACAACAGGTATATTCTGATTATATTGTAATACTAAAATGTTCTATGTATGAAGACATGTAATAGAATTTAACACATTTTGCAGAAAAAAAAGTTCATTATAAAAGACCTCCAGTGGGTCGGATGGCTGCTCGCACTGAGCTAGGATCCTCTGGAGGTTTCTTCTTGTTAAAAGGGAGTTTTCCTCTCCACTGTCACTACATGCTTGTTTTGTATGAGGATTGCTGTAAAGACATTGAAACTAGTCAGTGATTTGATGCAATCTGCTGGGTTACCTTATACTGAAACCTTTACCTAATTGACTTAATGAACTGAACTTAACGCATGATTAGTAAGTTGTTGCAGCGCTCCGCCAACGGCGACCATAGAGCAAGGCAGATGAAGGAAGCTCTATTTCACAGAAGCAGAAATTCAGGTACCTGTGGGTGAGGTGGAGGAATGAAAGAAAGTACTTTTGCAAAACAAATAAGAGAAAATCCATGGAGTGGCACAGCGTTGCTGAAGCCGTCAGTGCTGTGAGTTCATCAGAGAGATCTGTGGCGGATATAAAAAAAAATGGTCTAATGGGCATTCGATCCGCAGACGCTTGAGTGAAAGTCGCGCGCTCTAACCAGTCACCCAAACAGACATCTCCCTTGACTAAGTAGTCAGGGCGCATCATCAATCGGGTCACAGTGACAGGACACACACTGTCACAGACGCATGACATTCTGTCTCAATCTGTCCTCCTGCTGATATTCTGCATTCTGTTTTCTGCACATCAGGCTGTGTGTGTGTGTGTATGTGTGTGTGTGTGTGTGTGTGTGTGTGTGTGTGTGTGTGTGTGTGTGTGTGTGTGTGTGTGTGTGCGTGTGTGGGGGATCTTGTTCTGTGTGAAAAAGAAGCGGTACAAGTGAGAATGCTGCAGGATTTCATCATTTTATCCTTCTCAGCAGCAGCACTGCAGGTGCTCTCCATGTCCAACATGTGTGTAAGCCAGGTCCTTAGTCAACTTAAAGTTGCACACATTTTTACGCTAAGTTTTCTTTCATAAATCCCAAAGTTTGCGTGGAAAGTTGCTTACGCAGTTTTCCGACCCTGTTTTGTGCGTAAGCAATCTTGATAAATGAGGCCCCTGAGCTGTTGCTTTTATTGTCAGGACTGTTCTGATTGTTGGTGTGCTAGTTTTATTGCTCTTACTATTCATACAGTTGATTTTACCTTACTTATTGAATTGTTTAGAATAGTCTGTTCCTGACTTATTTTATAGGAATGTTTTATTCAGTTCATTTTGTCTGTAAGGCGCTGTGTTTTAAATTGCGCTGTACAAACAAAATGGTATGGTAAAGAAAGTGAACTGAATTGAAGTGAGTTGAATTGAGTGATATGAGTGAACTGCAGTAGGTTAACGGTTGTATGAGCTGGGGGGGAGATATACTGGTATTCATTGTTAGGGTTACCCTCTGGTAAAGTCACACTGTTAGGAACTCTGCAAGACCCAACAACTGCAAGAACAGTCAATCCTGCAGCTTTGAAAAGCGATTCACAACTTTCAAGAAGCAAACATACCAAAGACGCAGCCCATTCAGCGTTTACTGCTGCAGACTGGATGAGCATATGTTGGCTTTTATTGCTTTATTAATAACTTCCTGTGAAGTCTGTAGATGACTGTGGAACATTTGGTACTGGCACCAGTCTTCGATAGAGTTCTAAAGGAAAATTAACTCTTTTATTTACTTTAGTTATTTATTTATGAGGATGTAAACCGCTTGAGATGTAACATCTCATTCTTGAATGGGTCCTCAAAATCAACAACTATAGAGCTAGTAAGACAGCAGAGTTGTTAAATAATCCCAAATTCATGATTACAAAACAACAGTGAAGAAGAAAAAAGATCCTACTAAACTATGCTAAATTATGGTTCATCGATATTTGTAACTAAGGGCATTATAGGTATTAATAGTATCTTACCCCGGGTTTCCACGGGAGCCGTCAGCAGCACGTTACTGCAGCAGCACGTCTTGCTAGCGTAAACTGCTGTTTGGCCCTTCCCACGAGACGCGAAGCAGCAGGGGAGCAGCTGTCACCGACCGAGCACGAAGTCACACGAGTGACTTCGTCAGTAAACACAACAACAAGCAGGAGAAAACTAGAACATGGCTCCAAAATGTTTGTGTTTTTATGTTCTGTCCGTTTTATAATCGCCAATACGGACCTGAAAAACAAAGGAGACCGCTAGCTAGGTGATAACTTCTCACAGGGACGCACAGTTAGTAACCTTTTTTAAAGTAAAGCAACCGGAAGGCAGTACGTTCTTTATTCTGAAAATCTCTGGAGATTCTCTCCATTTCCGCGTCCGATTTCCTGTCTGTCCTTCCCCAAAAATTTCAAACTTGACCCGTTTCAGAGGCGTCGCGCGTAGAAAATAGAACCGGCGCGTAAAGATAGATAAATAGAACATGCTGCTCCTGAGACGCGGCCGACTTGAGCTGCTGACGGCTCCGGTGGAAAAGGTTCTGTTGACCACACGGTTCCTATCAGCAGCTATGACGTGCTGCTGACGGCTCCCGTGGAAACCCGGGGTTAGTGGGAACATTCAGCAGCATTTCAAGTGTAACGTTTTTTTTGGGGGGGGGGGGTTGGCTCACAAAGTGCATCTGCAGGAAATAGGAATGGAAAGAAACTTCAATTAGACAGGACCACAGGTTATCGGATTTCTCTTCTTTAGGTGAATCACAGTCTCACAGGTGAGGCAACTGACAACTGTTCCGGGTTTAAACAGACGTTCAGCGTCAGAGTTCAGATTGGCTCAGAGTCAACCTGGCTCATGATTCAGTCGGGAGAGGGATGGGATTGCTGGAATGCCCTCTGACATGACATTTTCTGTGTGATTTGTGTGTTTTTTCTACTATAGATGTATTCCCAATGATTAAGAGAACATTTGCTCAACATTTATCTGTCCCAGTTTACCAAGAAGCAAGTGTCTTTAAAGGTTCCACATAATTCTATTTTAAACCTTTGAAAGCAAATTCAGGCACATTATATGATACAATATTCCTGTTGGTGCTATTAAGATGTCATTCATCTTATTTTCATCAGCCTGAATTTATACCAGGAAATAAAAGTCTTTGTTTCAGTGAAACTCCACCCACGCCCACTCTTAAACAAGGCTGTATTGGCTATGGTAGTCCAGTGGTTAAGGTGTCTGCCTGCCATCTTAAGCTTGCCATGTGCTGACGCCAGTTTGAATCCCGGTGGTATCAGCAGTCATTTATTCAGCCAGCTGAAGCCCATTCCATGTTTTTATAATTTAGTTTTATTGATTATTTTCTGTAAAATGTTTTGTGTCTCTAAAGATCTTTGAATTTGGTCAAGCAGCATTTTAGTTGATTTTCTCTGCTCAGCTCACATGAACTCACACTGGCTAAATAAACAGAGGAAGTGAGAAAAAAACAATACAGATTAGTACGTGCTTTTTAAACAGTTCACCAATAAAGAGTTAAGAGAAAACGTTACTGCCATGACCAGGATGTGACTCTGCACAAAACTATATGTCAACCCAGCACTCTAACCACTGGACTACCAAACTACATATCCCATGCTGACCAGGGGAGGCAAGTTTCAGACCAGAGACCAGCTTCCATTGACACTTTGCAAGATTTTCTAAGTAAAACTCTAAATTTGCAGCTATTTTAGGAAAATACGTGAATGCAGCTGATGCATTTTTATGAGAAAATAACAATTTCACATGGAATGATACGTCCGTGATAGGTCCCTTTAAAAAATAATTTTGACCAGAAAAACAAAAGACTCTAGTTTGGTTCAAAACTAGGTAAAAATCTGGAGATTTACATGACTGCTGCATCCTTTTCAATGCCTCTGCTGCTTCAGTATCAGGGTGCTAGGTACGGTCTCTTAAATGTGGATCCTACAAGTTTTAAGCTGTAGATAACATTTGCAGCTGCAGACGAGGTGGGGTTCATTTCTTCTTTACCTTTACTGATCCTAACATGCCACATTCCAGCCTCGTGCTCCCTTCTGCTTGTAAAGCTCACGCCACCTTCTTTAGACCATTGTGAAGGAGCTCCTATTTGGGACAGATCTCCTGTGGCTGTTTGGAGAAGCTTTTAATGTGGAACCATTATGTCTTTACGAGAACGTTGTGAGATAAAAAGTCTAAACGGTCTCAGTGCTGCCCATTGAGACACGGCTGAGTCACAGGACCAAGGGAAGATGTCCCAAGGTAGTGGATGTTAAAAAGAAGAAAAGGACTGAAACCTGATTGTATAAGTGTTGATTACAGAGCAATCTTCCAATCTTCCCAAGCGCTTTTCTTTCCATTGCTGTGGTTGGATCAGCTCTTTTGTGTGTGTCAGATGTGGGAGAGAAGAGGTGGTATTGAAGTGACTTTTTAGCACTTGACAATGAATGTTTTCATCATCAAACAGTGACGCTCCTTTCTGTCTCATCTTTGTCTTGTCATTTTGTCTGGACTCCTTTTTAGTTCCCTTGGACTCACCCACTCTCTCAGAGTCACCCACTCCCTCCGAGTCACCCACTCTCTCAGAGTCACCCATTCACAACAATACAGATTCAAAGTGTACGACGAGCTACCCGTCACGTAAGTTTACCTTCCTCCCTTTAGGCCAAGTTGGTCAAGTTGGGTTTTTATTGTTGTCTGCTTTGGAATGTTTGCCAAGACCTACAAAAGTAAAAGTCCAAGGAAGGAAAACCGGCATCTGTGTGGCTTCAACATAGCACAAGCATCTTCATCTCAAACTGCTAAAAATGGTCGAAAGTTCACGTCTACCATCAAATCTAAATGCATCAGAACTGAACAAGGAATACGCCAATAAATAAATAAACAAAGGAGTAAAACAATGCTTTAAGCTTTCTTGTTTTATTTTCAGGTGCCTGTTCACATATCAGTAATCCAACATCAGAAGAGCCTCTGGACATGATGAAGCTGATCCTCCTCTCCTCACTGTTTGTTTCAGTCCTCACAATCATCCTGATGTGTGTGGTGTGGAAGGTGAGCTGATGTACTACCCCTGACCCTGAGTCATATCACTTCTAATTTGCTCCAGAGATGATGATTATCAGTTGTCTTATTGTATTGTCAGAAGGTTTCACTTTCTTATGTAGAATTTATTACAACGAGTACCATCTTCTCAGCTCCTGGCAAGGGATGAGGAGGCTGGGACCAGAGGTTTGGTGGTCTCTGTAAAGCCTGATTTACAGAATAAACGTTCATATTTTCAAACTTTTTCCGCGATGCGTTCTTCGATCTGTTCTGGGTCTGCCGCTGAATATCTTTTGACGTTTTAAGTGCGGTACCGTCAGCTTTGCAATGGAGAGATGCACACGAAGTGTCCGAAAAGTTTTCTTATCTTAACTTCTGTTCAGGCAGAGGAGCGTTGCAAAGCAATTCCCCGCCAGGACAACAGAGGGCATACTGCTTATCTGTGGTATCCTGCCACCATAACACTCATGTATCCGGTAGTATACATACAATAGTGTATTTACTAATGTGTTTATATATTTCAGAGACTTTATAACACGGATTAGTTGTGCTTCATTCTCCACCACCTATTTATGCGGTCGCCACCTCCAGAGCCACACTTCCTGTCGTTTCCGTCCACGTTTGCTCCGTATTTTGTACTCCTTCAGTCACAGGTGACCTTTTCCGCGATGTGTTCTTCAGTCTGTTCTGGGTCTGCCGCTGAATATCTTTTTGCTTTTTAATGGGACAACGACGGTGCTGGTGACACATTTACAGGAAGCGGCGTCCTGACCAATCACAAGCTTCCCGTTGCCGTCACTTTTGACGGATGTTTATCTCCATTAGAGATAGGATGAGAAGCTCGGTCATCCGGGAGGGGCTCGGAGTAGACCCGCTGCTCCTCCACATCGAGAGGAGCCAGTTGAGGTGGCTCGGTTATCTGGTCAGGATGCCTCCTGGACACCTCCCTGGTGAGGTTTTCAGGACACGTCCAACTGGGAGGAGACCCAAGGGAAGACAAAGGACACGCCAGAGGGACTGTGTCTCTCACCTGGCCAGGGAACGCGTTGGGATTCCCCTGGAGGAGCTGGCCCACGTAGCTGGGGAGAGGGAAGTCTGGGCATCTCGGCTTAGGCTGCTGCCCCCGCGACCCGACTGGATAAATGGTTGAGAATGGATGGGTGGACAAAGTTAGGACAAAGGGCCACGGGGTGTTTGCTTAGTAATGCATGACCCTAACCCTAACATTAATAATAAGCAGTTGTTTACATCTGATTTGATACGTTATTAATGCTTAATAATGCATTAAGTAACATTTTAAAAGGATGTGCAGTGTTACCATGGTCTTTAAAATGAAAAGGCTGATTTTCTATTCTGATACAGGTCAGATCGCCAAGTAACAGACAGGCTCATCAACAGAGTCCCGTAGAAGATGATTCCTTTACCGGATCAGAAGGGACAGAACCTCCAGGAAGCGCTGAAACACAGGAAAAGTGAGCTGTTTCATTTGTTTCTCACCACTTTTTTATATCACATCAGTTATTCAGCAAGAAATAAATAGCAAAACAATTTTTGCTAAGAAAACTAAATTTTCTATATGTTTGTAACGGATCCTGGACTCTTCCCAACTCTGGCTCTGCTGAGCGATTCATCCTGTGCAAAAGGGTCGTATTTTTCTTTATTCTTCCTTAGTGCTGTTGCCCAGTGCTCACTCAGAGGGAATCATTAGGTTTCACTCTATAATATATTGTAAGTGCTTGTCTAAAATATTGAAAGGTCTTGACCTTTCCCTGCGTACAGTCTGACTTCTCCCCAAACTATAGTCTGCAGAGGAAACATGGGGGAAGTAGGAGCAAATAACTTTAAGTATTAAACTTGATAAAAAGCAGGTGTGTTTTGGAATGAGGACTATGCATTGTAAAAACACTGGAGTTGTGTGTTCTGAGAGCAGTGGGAATCTAGCACAAAGGCTGGAAGGATTACTCAGTTGCATTATGGGAGGTTCTGCTGCTTGAGTCATAAAAGAGACATGGCATCTGGATCTCACAGCTTTTTTTCTTCTGCTCTTTTGTAAATCACCCAAATTCCCCACTGGAAGTGCAAAACTAAAACACTGCTCAGCCCATTTATTAGGGGCCTCAGGCAAATTTGGCTTCATAGTAAATACGTGTTCAGAACAACACAGGCAATTAAACAAACCCACTGCAGTTTCAGGCTGCATGAATATTTATTTATTAAAGACACTCAGAAAATATCTGAAGAATACTCAGCCCTCAAGTGAGCCAGAGTTTATGTTAAACAACACGCATCGTGCAGATCAACAGTATTATACAGCTACTGTATGTTGACAGCCAACCACTTCTCACATCGTATGTATCCATTACTCATGCTTGGTTAGGAGCCATTTCAGCTGGTTACAGGTTTGGAATCTGTTCTTTTACTGAAAAAGCAACCATATTGTCACAAATACATTTTATGTTTTCTGTAATCAGTTCATCTGTAGCTTCATGAATGTGTAAAAAGAACAAAAACAGGAAGACCCTGTTCCCAACAACATTAGCGTGATAAATTCCCATTACATCGTGGCTAACAGGTGAACTTTTATCACATCAACAGTTGCCAGTATTAGTGCAATCATAAAAAATATTGATCCTAACTTACTTTAATTCCTTAAAAAGCCGCATTTGTTCTTGAAAAAAAGTTATCAAAGCAAGCCACATTTTGAGAAAACAAAACTGAACAAAACAGAAAATCCTCATGGGTCCCTGGCCCTGCTGCAGAGTCTGGTGACTGCAGAATGTAGTACAACACCTGCTTGTGACACAGACACGAAACACAAAGCTCTGCTGAACTGTTAAGGTCACAATTTCCAGAAGCAACTTTTAACTGAACCTCCTCCCACTTGCTTCATGCCCCGCCCCTCTATTTAGTACGCTAGCATATATGGTGTGTGGTGCTTTTATGGTGACAAACTAGGCAGAGTTGGGACTAAGCTGCTTTCCCCCTACAATAGCTCTTTCCAAACCAGAAGACTCTGAATAGAGCTTGCAAAACAAATCCAGACTCTAGGCAGGTAAGCTAGCTTCCTGTTTGACTGCTCCGAGCCAAAAACGAGCGCTTTGTGCAAAAAGGGTGTGTGCAGCGGTGTCAGAGACGTTCAGAACAAGGATGGGTTTGGATCCAATCATGTAGAAGGATGACCAGTGCTGGATGGCATGGGACTTTTCCAGGATTGTACTTTTCAGAGGTGATTACAATTATTATATTTTTGGGCAAAACATTAAATTGAATGGTTGCCACTGTTATGTGAGGAGCATTTCAAGCGCCAGAGAAAAATCTCTGTGTAATGGTTTATGCTCTTTTATGAAAGATGAACCATCCTACATATTAATTTGAGATATTAATTTTTAATAAATTAATAACCAAATTTTATAGTTTTAAGAAGACTCAAAGGTTGTTTTCATCGATAAACTGACGATAATATCCGTGGGTCTGTGTTTCAGTTCAATGAAGAGACAAGTTTGAAAGTTAAAAGTTTTAATTCTTCAAATTAAACTAATGATTTTGAATTGACAAGCATAGGAAACAACAATCAACATTGGCAACTTTGTTGGACAATCTTTAACAGTTGATATTTTAAGCTTGCACACAAAGACCTTGTGTTGGATGTGTGAAGATTGAAAATGATGTGATATGGATGCGTGTGTGCGTCTGAATTTGCTTCAGGAAGAAACAGGTGTCTGAGTGAAAAGTGATGGTTTGAATAAACAGGTTTCGTTGGAAAACAATTGCATCAGAACGCTATTTATTGTAGACTGCCTCACCGACTTAGGACCCTCTTTTAGATCCGGGACATCAAAGGAGGATGTTTCATCCAGGGCACCTTGGCTGACAGAGAAGACGAAGGTGTCCGATGCTCCGGTCCAGAGATGACCTCTGTACACGTGATGAAGCGTTTGCAGATGCGCTTTCTTAAGTTTAATTTACTCAGAAATCAAAAGACTCTGGACGAGTCTGCGTTAGCGGTTGCAATTCAGCCATCCTGTCTGGCTTGGCAGGAATAGCATGGGGGGGGGGGGGGGGGGGAGTTAATTTGATATTAATTATTATTACAATTTTATAATAAATAACACACAATTATCTGTTCGAAGCAGAAGTTTTCTTCTTCATGTTTGGATTTTAGAGACTCTGTGCTTTTCATCACCTTGTTTTTATAATATTCATCTCATCAACGCTATGAAAACACACACTTTGCTCTGTCAGTTCAGTGTCGGAGCATTTCTTTCATGTCCATATTTCATTTCTCACCCTCTCGCTGTGAGCTGCCTGCCTGGTTTGAGAAGCAAAATCTACCAGCAGGAAAAGCAAACAGTGTCACCCCGATCTCCGGCTGTGCTCCGCTGTAATTCTGAGTCCCGCGGAGGCACAACACTGCGTTGCACTAACAGAGCACCAGTAGATCCAAAGGAAGAGAATGATCCACATAACAGAGAAATGCATGCATTGAAATGCTAGAGAAAGAATGAACTTTATGTCCCACCAAATTCCAGTAATCAAAGTGAAACATTGGCTGTGATCTAACTGCGTGCAGCACATCTACCAGGCGTCTGGGCAGGAAGTGAAACGAGCTTGGCTGTTCCACTCAAAGTGTCACGCTGCGTTCACATGATGAGCATCAAAGCGTTTCCAGGGAACTGAGTAATGTAGGAATGTGAAAGCAATGATGATTGAAGTTCTTTATCTCAGCATTAGTGTCATTCAGCTGCACTGAATCACTGGTGAAAACCTGATTAATCTGAACTCGCCTCAAACAAACAAGAAAATCCTGATGATGTTGGCGAGTCTTGATGTTTTTATGGCTTTCTTTATTTTTAATAATCTATTTTCTGTCATGTTACAGAATTATGTTGAACGTCATTGAAACGGTGTAAAGACCTACCCATCAGCAAACCGGGTAAGCCTTTTTAGTCCTCATTTCAAATTGCAAGGGAAGAAAATGTCTTCCCCCATTTTCTGAGCCCTCTGCTTCATTCTTCTGTCTCACAGGGCTCTGCTCTTGGCTACAGTTGTTGTCTAAAGATGAAACTCAAGCACAGCTGAAAACTCTTGTGAAATGGCCGAAGTGTTGGGACTTCCTCGTCCCAATGCCATTACCAGGAAGTTGTGTGGTTCAATCCAACCTGAAACTTTTTGGATACTTGCCTTTCTTATAAGATTACATTACCCCCATGCTGTTGAAGGTGACAATGACTTAGCAGGTAACCTTACAGCCATGTCATCACCCCCCCACCGCCCCGCTGAGGCCTGTGTCCCTCAGCTCCGAATACTCATCCATCAGCACCTGCTGCTTCTGTGACTCTGTGGGGAAAACGACTTATTTATCAGCCTGTTTCTCCAGCCTCCCGCTACGCTCAGGCCTACATCAATACTACGTCTTCAAAAGAAAAACGCTGAAAGTGACTGATGCCGGTTATCTCTTATTTGAACTGAGGCATGATTTACTACCTCTGAAGACCCTCATATTAATCCACCTTCAACAGCTTTCTAGCCTCCTCGAAGCCTGAGGTTTCCCAAGGAATTATGGTGGTTCCAGACTTTAGTCACATTTTCTGGTTTAAGCTTGTACCCAAAAGGGGCGTATGCTGACGGTGTATTTATTTATTGATGGTTGCACTCAGCTGCTGCTGTTCCTACAGCTGAATTGTTTTAAGCAATCATTTAAGGGCACCTTTATTAATGGGTCACATTTACTGAAGAGTCTGTGTACTAACACTTTGTAATCCTAAAATCTCACTCCAGCTGGAAATGCTTACCCAGAGATTGCTGTTCGGACAGACGACCTGAGTGTTTTAGAATGTGTGGATGAATTTCAGTGGAGAAAAACTACAAACCATTTGTGGGGCAAACAGAAAGACGCCGCTTGAACTAACCAGACATTTTGACTGTTAAAACCAGACATGAAATCCTATTAATCAGCATCAGGAATTGGGTGGATTTGGATTTTGAAACATTGGCGAGAATGGGCCTACCACAGGAAAACGTTAGTTCAGCAATGCCTTTACTTTTTATTTGTCACATATAAATATAAATATATATACATACATACATATACTGTTTGAAAGGCACAGCGTTTTACTGGAGGGACTGCTAATGGCCACTTTACTGTAAAAGTGGAACAAATCAAATTTCTAAAAGAGTGCATGGTCTGTAAAAAAAGAATAAATCAAATAAAAATTCAGGAAGAATAAGATTGTTTCCCTCCTGGATCTTGACTTTGGATGAGCGACAATAAAAGGATGGTTGGATATTTATTGTTTTTAGGGTTGCACAATAGGTTTTGTCAAATTATCAGCAAACTAATTCAGAATACCTAGGAGCGGGATAAAGGCGTGACTCCATTTATTCCAAGTTATGAATTTATTAATAAAAGGTGTAATTTACTGAAATATTTTTTATGATTATTCCTGACTTAATGCCGAGTGTTTCATGCAGGCTGAACATGAAAATAGTCTCCTACACTTATTTCCTACATCAGCTTCTGATAGAAAACAGATGGTGAAACTCTAGGATTAGAAAATCCTGACAGATCTACGTCACACTGTCACTGACATTCATGCACTCACCCATCTGGACTAGCAATGGGGAAGGCTGTTGTTGGTTTAGCATCCAGGAAACAGCAGAGGACATCTCGGCTGGTAGAAGCTAACCATTAGCGTTAGCAACTCCACCACACAGCAGAACTCCTCCAGGCTTGTGGTGTTAATGAAAATAAAACATCAACACTGCAGAGCAACTAGAGTCAGTGGTAGAACTGTGAGAAGTCCAAATATCAGCGAATAAGACTCCACATCCTGTCGTCTGAAGCTACTTTCTCCTCGGCTGATTTGTACTTCCTGAAACAAGGCATTCATTCCTACAAGAGACCACTGCAAATATATTGATTAAATGAGTGAACCACCCCTTTAAAGTAGGTCACAGCAAAGGTTTTGTACTACAAACAAGAAAATAATAACAAATCTGGATTCGTCTCAACTCATTGTCATTTTTCACAATGGTACAAATGCACGTTTTTCTAATATTGTGGAGCACTAATCCACAACCCCCCGAAGGAGTTATGAGAACATTTGTGACTGTAAAGGGATCGTACTGGTGAGTCAGTTAGCTCACAAGCTGTAGAGCCAGATTTACTAGAGCCAGTCTCTCACTGGGCCGCTGGAAACAGTTTTCCAGAAGAGTCTCCTAAACCAGTCAAACCCGTCCAAGCTTCCTCATGTCCTCACATAAAACAGGGCTTTGCTGTCATGTTGCAGAAACCTTGAATGTGGTTAAGTCCGTGTTCATTAGTCCATCTGAGGCTCATCTGGAATTCTCAATGTAAGAAATCTGAAGCAACTTTGGGACAGAGTTTTGAATACATTTTAGGGAACATTTACTCCTAAATAGGACAATTTTGCAAAATAATAACTTTGGTCATTTTTAACAGTTTATTTCCCACAATTTGGTGTCACATTCTGCACCTGATGTTATTGTCATTTGCTGCAAAGATGATGCAGATCTCTTCAAGGGGACAAAGAATGCAGTTTATCAGCAATCTCAAACACTGCTTGAATCTCTAACAAGCATAAGACATTTTGTTTTGGCTTTCATCTGTCCCAGGAGCCCTGCTACAGGCCATTCTAACCCCCCTGAATCAGCCTTGCTGCGAAAAGAGCTGTTCACCACTCCCACTTGGCAAGGACATGAATATGCTAATGAGCTGCTTGCTGATTGGTTGGTTTGAACCAGAAGGCCTCAGACAATGGAGACTGCAGATTGGAGGAAGAAGAACTCCACATTGTGACGTTTTTATGAGGTCTCTCAGAAAATAAGTTTTTTTTTCTGGCATTTTTACATAAAAAAATATTTACATAAAAAATAGGTTACACACGGCTTTGACTTTTTGGCGTGCTACTTTTGACCACCTAAGCTGTCTTTATGCACACACAACAAGAAAGTGTTAGTTTAGATTCTTTTTCCCCTTTAAAGCAAAAGCTGGACCATATGAAGTTTGAAATTTTCCATTTTTGTAATTGTGATCAGAATTCCAAACGATGATTTCAGAATAACTGTCAGATCCAGTTATTCATCTTTTCCTTGAGGAAATCTAAAACAAATAAACCAGAATAAGTCGTGCAGAAACCTGCTGTAGCTCAAGCTTCGAAGCTTGTGTTTTTCCTGCTTATCAGAGTTGTATTTACCTTCGTTATCTCAGACAGGGCATGAAACATTATCAACTGGGATGATATGTTGACACATAGCTAGCTTGAATGCTAGCTGTTTATAGGATTTTACACCATGATGAAAGTGGACAGTTAGGAAAGTGTTAAATGTTTTTTTATTATTTGCCCACATGTTAGGCTTTATTGACCTTTTTGCACATGTGTGTGCAACATTTTTGAAAGTAGTTTAAAGGAGGAGTGACGTCTTGATAACCATGTGCTTGTAGGAGTTTATCTAACTAATCAGACCAGTTAAACGTCAGTCTTTAATGAGCCTGGACTGACAAAGCATCTGAAAGGATACAAACAGGAACAGGTCAGTTGTCTGTCCTGTGTTGTAGCTGTTAAAAAGAAAAACTGCGTGTGTTCTTAGTCATTGACAATCAGTGGCGGTTTTACCATTAGGCATAGGTCGGCAGCCACCTGGGGCCCCCATGTGTTGGGGGGGCCCCTAGCCCTGACCGCCGGCACCCCTCTGTTAATGCCCCAATACGCTTATTACCAACCTGTGGCCGCAGACGGGATTGGACATGCGCACTTCTCATTACCATAATTCCTGAACCGTTCAAGATATTAAAATTCCAAATGTGCTGAAAAGATTTTTAAAAATGGGGCCTTTCGTGCATATACAATACATTACGGTAGCCACCGGGATTCCCTGTCTTGAGCGCAACGAATCACAGCACAGATTCAGAGACGTGCTGAGTTTGTCATCCAAAATGCTCTGTTTTATAACTTTTGAAAGGCTGATCAGATTTAAAAAAATCCAACGGTTCCTAAAAGTACATAAAAGCAGCTTTCCAACGACCCTCAGCATGAAGCAATCAGAGTTATGGAAAATATCGCTACGAGGGGAAATCCTGCTGTACAGCCTGATTGAAAAGGAGCGCAGCGCCGCAGTGAAAGCGGATAACGGAACGGGGAAGCTAATTAGCATAAAAAGCAGCATGAAATTATGGAAATGCCTCAAAGAAAATCAACACGATCTATTAGGTGTCCCAGAAGGCTTATATCTGAAGACAGTGACCACGAAGAAGGACAGATCTCCAGTGAACCAGGGTATGAATGTTTGTTCAGTCTTTATTTTTTATTTGAACAATCCTCAACTATTTGCTAATTGTAAAATTCAGCTTCATCCCAGCATTATTTATCTTTTTACTATAAATAATTATTTTTGCTAAAACAAAAGTTTTTGGTATAGCAGTGCACGGTGTGCAAGAGAAGCACCCCATGGCAGTGTGAGGTGTGCAGGACTCTGCCTGCAGCTGGAGAGAAACTGCTTCAAGGTCTACAACCAGGGGCGGCGTTAGGCCTGGCTACTTGGGCTGAAGCCCCGAATCTTTAATGAAAAGCCCCGGATCTCAAACGTGGAAGTAACATGCAGTACCAAAGTCCAACAGAGAGGGAGCAGCTGGCAGTAGTTTGTATACAGCCTGCCTGAGCCTCCACCACTGAAGAAGAAGCCCTTCAGCAGCCGGCTTCTTCTACACTCTCTGCCTGAAACGCATGAGTGAAGATGGACATAAGGAGGTTTTTTTAGACCAAAAGTACTGCGACAGAACCCCAGCTTTGATGAGACTGGTGCTGACTCAGGTTTGTGAGTTTTATTTGAAAATATTTGTTGTGCTGCTGGTTTGCCTAAAGTTAGCTTACTATCAGGTAAAGTTGTTGGAGAAAGAAAGGGAATATTTACTATCATCTCACACTAAACACTAACAGGAACAATACTCTGCCCTGAATATGCTTAATATGTAGCTTCAGATTAAAAATTATGTGGTACAAGACAAATATATATGATGTTGACTAGTGTGTGTGTGTGTGTGTGTGTGTGTGTGTGTGTGTGTGTGTGTGTGTGTGTGTGTGTGTGTGTGTGTGTGTGTGTGTGTGTGTGTGTGTGTGTGTGTGTGTGTTAAGCCCCGGATCTTCTTCAGTCCTTAATCCGCCCCTGTCTACCACATCAAATAAAAATGTCTGAAAGTTTACAAAAATAAATGGTCTTAAAAACAGCTAAAAAGATACCAAGGTTCAAACTTTTTTTTAAGAATAGATGCATTTCAGTTCAAAGTTTAAATTGTTTGCCCAGTCATTTTGAAGTTCCTGTTCAGTAACAAATGTAAAAAATTCTAATCCGTTTTTTGCTTTTTTCACTTTTAAGCTGATTTTTTAAAGGCTGTAATAGAAATAAATTCTAAATACAAACCATACACTGAAAGCTGAAGTTGTTCTGAACAAAGGAGAGAGTTACACACACTTTGCACTTTTTATTACAATTTTACAGTCATAAGATTAAAAAAATACCAGGTGGCCCTGTTATAATTATGGTCATAAGAGGGTTATTAAGACGGCGATGCACAAACAGGAAGTGATTGGTAGTCATTCCACTCCAATCCAGTTGGTGGCAGTAATGGACCAAATTGTTGTTTGCCAAGTGCCATAAGACCACAAATAAGAAGAAGAAGAAGAGAGAAGGGAGCATTCATAGCAAACTCAAAGCGATAGTCAAAACATGAAGCATGTTATCCTATTGGCTCCAATAAGAGAAAGAAGCAGCTTGCTTCATAAAAGCTTTTATTTTCACTTCTGAAAGGGACGTTGTTTTTCGATGTAAACATCAAAGGAAGCGGAAAGGAAAGACAATGGAAAATGTTTCAAGGGAGGAAAACATAGACCAAAATGGAAAAAAGAAAAAAAAATGGCAAAAGCACAGGAGCACTGACAGGAAAAAGAAAGCAGAGCAAATATTGAAAGCACTCAAAGGGAGGGAAATACAGGCAACAAGAGGAGGACTAATAAAAAGGGAAAATAACTCGTGTCAGAAGAGGGGAGAGTTTCACAAATCCAGTTAAAGGTAAGATTGTTGAAAGTTCAGTGTAAGGGGCCCCATGTCTGTGTTCGCCTTGGGCCCCCAAATTGCTAAATCCGCCCCTGGCTAAACTGCCATGGAGAGTAAATAACCCTAACCCTAATCTCTTCCTGCTGAATTTGCCTGTGTCCAGCTTTGGTATTTTGTTTGCATAATAAAATAGTCACAGATGAATAGAAACAGTATGACAAAATAGTGAAGATGAATGGTAATGTTTAAAAAATAAAATCAACTGAGTAATGCCGTCCAAACCAAGATTTCAGTTTTGCCTTAAAGTTGCTCCACAGCATGCACTTAAAGTAGATTCTCCATCACAGTGGCATGGTTTTAACAGTTTAGAGTGAGGACTGATTTTATCTAAGAGAAGCTTAAAAATGGTTGATATTCTATGTTCTTTATTGGGATTCAATTACCAGTATTCAGCCCACAGTCTGCCTACCACCTCCCTCAGATCTAATAAAGGAAGAGCTGCGGGTGTTCCCTTCACGGTCTCAACAGACTCCAGGCCCCTCTGATAAGATCCGACTAGAACACTTCAAAGAACAGGTCTAATATGACCGAGATGAAAATCACAAAGGGGTGAAATAGAAAGAAAATGGCAGGAAAAAAGTTGTTGCATAATTGATTAAAGTAATGAAAATACTCTACGTATATGGGGGAGGTTAAATAATCATTTTGTATAATCAGCTTTTTTCAGACTTCAGCTTACAGGTGCTCTACATGCAGGTGGGCATGGCTTTACCCATCTTTGTGTGGGATCAAATTTACAGGAAGCCCCAAAAAGGCCGTTCTGATTTTGTCTGTCCTTTATTCACTTGATAATATTGGCCAAATGGCCCCCAGACAGTTTTTCATCACCCAATAACCAACTTTACAGTTGATAGCCTGCTTTACAGACACTAATGCTGGACAAACAAACCACATTTGCTAATTGAAAAATCACAGACACAGTGCTTGGTAGTCAATACAATCAAATTGATGGAAACAAAATTCAAACCTTTATGCTTAGTTACTCATGACTCATAGTGCTCAAATTATATTTTCTCGAAGTTCCTTAGATAATTATTTGTGTCACTACTTTTTACAGACCACCCACCTCTGATCATGAACATTTTTCTTCTCTCTTCTCTTCTGTCTGAGAGAGTTGCTACTATTGACTCGTTATTCTTGGACGTAGGACCTTTCCCACCATCAGAATGTACAGAACACACATAAATTCTACCCTTCATTTGCCCCACACTGTGATAATCTGATCTTCCACATAAATACTGCCACCGCTTTGCTTTGACTGGCTTTAGCTTGACCCATTCCCTTTAAAGCTGTTTCATATTTTTGCTGACCTTACCCGGCTTTGGAAAAGGGATGAAACAAATGTCTCCTCAACATCTGATCTGGGTATCTAGAGTCACTTTTGCAACCTTCTGTTTGAACATCTTTAGAACACTAAACTATAAATTTGGGGCAATTGCATAATCTCAGACCCATAGGCACCCATGCAAAATTAACTTTTGCTTGTATTGGGCAACCTAGACAACCTAGAATGCACTGCAACATTACATCACCTAGACAACCTAGAATGCACTGCAACATTACATCACTTTCTATGTTTAGCTACTGCAACATTAGGTATTGGACTTGAGATCTTTGCAATAGACCATGTCTAACAGCTGTCATTGATTTATGTGTTAACTTCCTCCTCTGTGAATTTTTCTGTTCAAACTTCATGAACTTTATCAGTTAGGGACTTCCACATGTGGTTCACGAGTTTGCAGTCCAGACTTGTGGTGCTCTCATCGTTTTTTTTTAAGGATAAAGGAACCCCATCCTCCAGGTGTTCTGTTCTGCTGCTTGTATGAAACACGGTTCCGTCTTTCTGGTATATGAAGACATCAGGAAATAAACAACCACTTGTTCAAGTAAAATTCAGTAAGACAACAAATGGAGCTGCTTATTTCCCAAGCATAATTGGGTAAAGATACAAAGCTGACATTTAAGAATATATTAAGAACATATGTATGCTGAAGCAAAGCAATGTTAATAAAATCATATCAAAGGGTTTTTGAACTAGCTAGTGGTAAATCCAGCCACCCAGTATAATCAGAGTGATGCAGTGTGAACAGGGTACACTGACTGTGACCTTCTCCTGTCATGCAACTACCAAACAATAACAGGATAATGCGTTTATGGGGCTACTTTCATTTGTTCCATCAGATCAGTTGTCTTATAATTGTATTTTTTCCATCCTTAGTTTTGTGCCTTGTTTGATGTGTGTGTGTGTGTGTGTGTGTGTGTGTGTGTGTGTGTGTGTGTGTGTGTGTGTGTGTGTGTGTGTGTGTGTGTGTGTGTGTGTGTGTGTGTGTGTCCACAGCCTATGTGCATCCTTGTGGTGGGAGAATGTGGAAACTATCAGGCCCGATCCCTTCTGTGTTTTTCCTCAGTTAAATTTCTTTAGCTGGATTTGCCCGTGACCGCTCATAATTAGGTACACCACTTCTGGTAAAACAGTGCTTTGATATGTGAAAACAGAACAAATCACAGTGGTTATTATAACATTTCTATTCACATTACATTGATAGTCGTGTTAGGGACCATTTCAGCGTGTTTCCTGTGTAATCGGAGCTATTTACTGGGAGTTTTTCTTACAGAAGACTATATTGTGCAAAACTGAAGATGTGTTTAAAACAAAGTATACCACATTGGTGTTCATTTATTTCTAATAAGCAGTACCTTTCAGCTTGAAGAGCTGCAACATTTTGGTGTCGTGAAAGTATTGTTTATAACTGCAAGATGACAATAATTATACAAAAAACACATTTTTTAACAACATTTATGAATGTTAAAACAATATCTGTGCCATATGGCAGTTTAGGCTTGAGTTTTTGTTACAGAAACATGCCGCATTTGTGCAGCACAGTGGTGACGTTCTAAAACCTCTAACCTTTTAGCCAGTTATCTATATTTAAAGATACATTTTAAACAATATTAGAGTATGCCATGTATAACAGTTTAGACCTGATTTTATTTCTCTTCCATCTTTATTATCAGTATCCTGGACTCTGTCAATGGTTACTTTAGCCTCAAACTAACACATATGGCAAAATAAATCAAAAGAGGCTTTATATATACATAGTCTATAACTATAATGAGCTGTAAGAGGTCTAAGCTGTGAATAAACACCAAGGTCTCCCACTTTCCTGTCTATTCTACAGCCGGAAGCATGTCTGATGTATGGGGGCCGGGAATATTCGGGCCTCAGTCCAGCCGGCACATGACTGCCCTTGAACACTGTTTCCTATGTGCGTCGTTGTTGACCCAAACAAGAGCAGCACTGCCCTCTTGAACAGTTATTTTGGGCATGATAGATCCCATCCATCCCACTGAGGTGGGGGAATCAAAACAGCTGTAGGCAGGAAAAAGGTCTGGGTGCCAAAAAAAACCCTAATGTAATTATTACCCGGTGAATATTCTGGGTGAAAACTCTACTGTATTCTGTATTTTTGTACAAATGTAAACATATATGAAATATGAATAAAGTTCATGTATCCAAATGTTATTGAGGGGCTTGTTTTTTTTTTTGTTTTCATGCATAAATTTATAACTTCATTCTGTAAGGTTACTGTCTGCTGTAGATCACATTGAGCATGCATCCAGTGCAGCTCGATCTCAAGTTGTTACACATTAAAGATTATTATAAATTTGAGTTGGAAAGAAGAAAAACACAATAGATTTAGGTAAAAGCAGCTTTAAATAAAAGGGTCTTTAGCTGTTTTTTAAAAGTGTCCAGACTGTCAACGCTGCGTAAGGATAAAGGAAGATCATTCCAGAGTCGGGGTGCAACAGTCAGGAAGGAGCGATCACCTCGACTTTTATATCTGGTCTTTGGACCTTCTAGAAGGTTCTGGTGTGTGGACCTGAGGGCTCGGTTGGAGCATAACCCCCAGATTCCACTACCTCCACTCCGCTGCGCTCCGCTCCGGCACGAACTCTGGAGCAAAATCGGTCCCGTTGTAGACAATCAGAGCAATTGCACTACTGCGGCCGTGCTGCTGCAGTGCGGCGCAGGGCGCCGCCCTCTGTTCCGGCGTCTGGCAAAAATAGAATCAATATTTTTGCCAGATGCTGGAGCACCTCCGCAGTCAATGGACAGGAATCACAACCGCCCAACAGGAAAGGGAACAAGCACAGCTTCCATTATTTCACAATAAATCGATAAACAAAAAGCGTTTTTTGTTTCATATGCACAGGTTTAACAACTTTTAACAACTATCAATGGCGGCTGAAGTTTAAATGCACAAAATTAAGCCATAAATACAGTTTCCACTATCAAAGTAGTCACACTTTGTTGATCCAAACACTGCTGATCTCTCAACACAAATGATGGGCAGATTAAACAGTTCATTTCGATGCTTCTCCCACACAACGGGTGTTTGGATCTAACTTCCGCGTTTATACCTCGGACTGTATCTCAAGATCTCGAAAATCCCGCGCATGCCTGTTTGCGCACCTCAGGTCTCCGCACCGGAGCCGTTGTAGAGTGGGTACCAGTAAAAATTCAGTTTGGAAGCGAGCGGCTGCGGAAGGCGGGGGCGGAGATAGTGGAATTTGGGGGTAACCCCAAAATTCCACTATCTCCGCTCCGCTCCAGCACAAACTCCTCAGCAAAAACGGTCCCGTTGTAGTCAATCAGAGGTGTTCCACTATTGCGGCAGCGCCGCCCGCCGTTCTGCCATCCGGCAAAAATAGGATCGATTCTATTTTTGCCAGACGCCGGAGCACCTCCGCAATCAATGGACAGAAATCACAACCGCTCAACAGGAAAAGGAGCAAGCACAACTTCCGTTATTTCACAATAAATTGATAAACAAAAAGCGTTTTTTGTTCCATATGCACAGGTTTAACAACTTTTAACAACTATCAATGGTGGCTGAACTTTAAATGCACAAAAATAAGCCATAAATACAGTTTCCACTATCAAAGTAGACACACTTTGTTGATCCAAACACTGCTGATCTCCCAACACAAATGATGGGCAGATTAAACAGTTCATGCCGATGCTTCTCCCACACAATGAGTGTTTGGATCTAACTTCCGCGTTTATTGCTCAGACTGTATCGCAAGATCTTGAAAATCCCGCGCATGCCTGTTTGCGCACCTCAGGTCTCAGCACCGGAGCAGAGCCGTTGTAGAGCGGGTACCAGTAAAAATTGAGTTCGGAAGCGAGCGGCTGCGGAGGGCGGGGGCGGAGCGGAGATAGTGGAATTTTGGGGTAAGGCTTTAACAGTTCAGTAATATAGGGAGGCGCTTGTCCATGTAGAGCATTGAAAGTTATAGTCAGGACTCTAAAATGAACTCTAAAGTTAACGGGTAACCAGTGCAGAGACATCAGAATAGGAGTGATGTGAGCTCTTCTGTTTGCTCCAGTTAGGAGCCTTGCTGCAGAGTTCTGGACCAACTGAAGAGCTTTTTTGTTAAAACGTGTGAAGAGTGTGTTACAGTAATCTGGACAGGAGGAGAAAAAGGCATGGAGAACCATTTCAAGTTCATGTTTTGACACCAACCTTCGCAGTTTGGAGATAATTCTTTAAAAACTGTTTTGGACCAATGATTATGAGTGGCTTTCAAGAGACATAATCCAAGCATGAGAGGGACATGAAGTGAAACAATCTGGTTTATGGTGTCAAACAAAAGTTTCCTTATTTTTATCTGAGAAAGTCAGCTGAGCGAAATAATCTACCCTTGAGTTTTTCACCATCTCGTTCAAAGATGTTATGAGATCTTTCAGGTGCTGTCAACAAACTTCTAACCTAGTTGATTTCCAACACCTCTCGGCTTCGGGGCATATCATCCTGAACCTAAATATTCAATATTCATTTGTCCAAGGACTTTTACTTCTACTACATAAAACAATCTGTTTAACTGCGACCACTGTGTTTAAGATACAACAGCACTGCTGGTTAAATTACTTTATACAGGAGATTGGATCATCATCTTGAACTAAGCTGATGTCAAATAATTTAGAGAAATCCATCTACTGCTGACTGATTAATTATGCTCCTGTCTGATTTCAGCTTGTGACGGCCAGGATCAATGTTTGCTGTGGTCACTCACATGAACCTCATCAACATGTAAACATTTGGTTTTTAATCCCAAAGAAAAAACAAGATCCAGTGTATGGGTGTTTTTATGTGTGGGGCCGGAAACGTGCTTTTCAAAAAAAAATAAAATAAAATAAAAACGCTCTAATAAATATGAACTATGTGCTATAAGCAGGGCCATCAAAGTGTAAGGTAATGTCATCAAGAATTAAAATTGTTTGTAGTTTTAGCATTGATGATAAAATTAAGCTAATTCAGAGAACAAAGAGCCAGCTGAAATGGGAGGTCGATACATTAAAATACAGTTAAATACATTTCCTACTTTAATGACCTGAACTTCTAAAGTGGTAAAAGTGCCATCTTTCATCTAATTACAGGCATGTTTGACCTTAAAGTGTAGTAAACACAGAGTGATTTGGTGAACATAAATCATTAAAATGCACAAAATTTCCATCTTGTTTACTCATCTCAATAAGAAGTAAATAGTCCAAGCTCTCTCTGATGAACAGCTCACTTAAAACAAAGGATTTTTGAAAATTGGAACAGGCATTTAACAGGGCACACTGAACTCAAACTTGGAAGCCATCAGTCTTCTTAACCTGTTGGAGAGGGATGGATGTGTTTCTGTATCTATTTTATATCCCTGCAGGTTGATAAATGAACTGGAATAGGAAAACTTCCGGGTCTGTCAGCAGAAGAAAACAACGTGGGTACAGTGACCCTTGGAAGACATACAGATGACAATTTCATGGGGGAACACTGTAAACCAGGGATTCCCTAAGTGTGGTGCAGGGGTGCGCGAGCTGCCGCTAGGGGGTGCGCGAGGTGAAAAGTAAAATGGCTGCGGAGCTCAGAGAAGTCTGTCATATGTCACCGTTAGCGTAGCCAGAAACTCATTTGTGGGTGGGCCTAAGAAAATGTAAGTGGGCCCAATAAATGCAATTGAAAACAAGTATATTTTGCGCGTGTGTGTGTGTCCTCCGCATGTGCCCTAGCTTCATAATAACAATGCGCCGAGCTTCAGCACTCTGGCCTGCGCACGCTGATATGTTCCGTATTTGATCATTTTTAACGGTGTTGGGGAAATCTGAAGGTGAGTCATTCTGGCAGATTGTAATTAACACCCTGTCTCATGCAGGTGTTCTGACATTGTAAACCTCACACACAGAACATTGCGGATGTAACTAAATAAATCAAGAAATTATTCCCATCTGAGCATTTTAGCATTATTATATTATATATAGTGATCCAGTCAGCACTCACAGAGCACAGACGCTTCTGCTTTGCTCCCTTATCTTTTTTTTCCCCAAGGCTCTTTTGTCCTGTCTGCCTACAGAGCGCTTCTCTGCATTTCCTCTGGAAATCACTATTTTTCAGAAATGGATTTAATTAATTGGTCATTCAACGCGATTGATAAGATTTTTTCTACGATGAGAATGGAGGAGGGGGCTCCCACTTGCCCTCATGGGACACACGCAGCGGGATATATGCTCGATTCCTGGAAGGAGTGGAAGGTCGTCTGTCTCTCTCAGCTGTCCATTGAGGACATTGAAGATATGTGGATATTTGGCCTGATGATCACTGGATTTCTTCTGATTGGAGTGGGAGGATATCTGGTTTTCCGAAAAATTGGGAAGACGGGAGCGATTGGAGGGCAACCCGCACCCATGGACAGCACCGTCCGGACGGAGACCTCACAGACTGGGACGTTACTCGAGGTGAATCATAAGCTGGACAATGTCTTAGCTGCGTTACCGGTGTTAGTGCGCAAAATGGATGTCATCTCGGAGAGGGTCACCGGACGGTGTGGAGATGTTTAATAACCCGAATTGGCTTCACTGAAGGACTGGAATGACCAATTACAGACTGATGGCAGAGGGAAAATTATCTCTGCCTGACCAAGCCCCCACAATGCCGCTCTAAAAATGGTCCCATCCCGGAAGTAAGAAAAATTGCAGTTCCACCCTCATCCGCTGGGGGCTGGTGCCAGAAGCGAGCAAATCCTCATTGACTCCCATGTTAAAAATGCCGATTTCACAGCAGAAATAAACATGTTTACAGCCTGGTGCCAAAACATGTTTTTTGTCTAAATTATCTAGTTTATACTCATGACAACTCTGAGGGGGGTGAATTTTTTTCTCACTCTTCTGTTTAAGTGTATTGAAAGCCTAAAATTCTGTATAATTAATGAGCATCCGACACACGTGACCGCCGCCTCAGACCCACGTGACCACAGAGCTAGCTCCGTGGAAAGGCCTCAGTACAGCCTCGGTCTGGCTTGGAAACTGCTCCGGCATTTTGAGTCTCTGTGTTTGTGTATTCTTCTTTGGATATTATTGGTGCAATTGTTGGACAAAATGACTTGCAGTGGTATTAATTGCACTAATAGAGCGTCCAAGGAGTCTCCACTTCATTTTTTTCGGTAAGTTAAAATCTATATTTGTATTTTATGTCCATG